CCCCCCCGATGCCCCCCTCCTCAGCCCCCTTCGTTATTTTCTTCCCCCTCGCCCGGCGCCTCCCTCACCCGAATTCCAGCTGAACAGACAAGGGCGCCGCCCTCTTGCCTCAGGGAGCCACGCTGCCCACACCGGAAGCGCCCCCCGCATCCGGGTTAGGCGCGGTTGCCGCGCAACGAGGGCGGGGACGCCTGGAGAAAACCATAGAGAGGCCAAGGCGGCTCTCGGTCTCTATGGTCCGCTCTTCTTTCCCCCCTCCCCTTCCTGCGTTTGGAGAACTGCTGGATTGCAGCTCCCATGGTGCTTGGCAGCCTGGGGAGGGGATGATGGGGGTTGTAGTCCAGCACTGCTGGAAGGCAGAGGAGTTTAAGTCGAGAAGGGCTTTTTTTTTTTTTGCCCTTGCAAGCGTTAAATGAGAAAACGAGCAACGGATAACAACACTGGCGTTGTTAAACTGGGACACACAACCGAGTTTATCTGATAAACGTGGGTGAAGCATGGAGGATGCAGGATGCGCCTCGATGACATGCGGTGGATGTTCCTGGATTAAACTGATCTGGTTTAGATCCAGTTCAGCCTCGGCTCAGGGCTCGTTTGCACTAAAAACCCAAGAAAGAGGGAAGGGGAGGAAAGGAAAGGAAAGGAAAGGAAAGGAAAGGAAAGGAAAGGAAAGGAAAGGAAAGGAAGGGAAGGGGAGGGAAAGGGAGGGAAAGGGGAGGGAGGGAAAGGAAAGGAAAAGAGAAGCTCAGAGAGTTTACCAGGGAGCCTGCTCAGAAAAGGCCCAATTAATTTCCAATCAAGGCTTTGGGGGCATCTGCCCGCAGCTGCCGGGGCGCTCACTCTGGCGAGCCGAGCCGAGCCGAGCCGAGCCGAGCCGAGCCGAGCCGAGCCGAGCCGAGCCGAGCCGAGCCGAGCCGAGCCGAGCCGAGCCGAGCCGAGCCGAGCCGAGCCGAGCCGAGCCGAGCCGAGCCGAGCCGAGCCGAGCCGAGCCGAGCCGAGCCGAGCCGAGCCGAGCGAGCGAGCGCCGGAGAGCAGGGGGAGGCCGCCAGAGCCCTTGCAGAAGCAACCGTGACAATGGGGGCTTCCTGGCCCCGGGGCGGGGGGCTTTGTTTGATTTTGCCAGCCTCCGATCCGGCTCCCCTCTGCAGCCAAGAACAAGGGTCTGGCGAGGGGGGGAGGGCGAGCCGATGCCGGGGCAGGGGGAGAAAGGTCAGAGGGAGTGAACGCTTTCTTTCCCCCATTCATGTGGTAATGGGGTGTCACGCAGAGATCACGGAGGCAGAGGCCGACTCTGGGCCGGGGTTAAACTGCCACCGGGAAAGAATGCCGAGCGCCCAGCGACAGACTCCTGCCTGTCATCCCCGGCTTGCGAGAAAACCCTCCAGCTCCCCGGGCCTGCAAGGAGGGCAGACCGCGCTGCGCACACACCCACACACACACACACACACACACACACACACACACTTGCAGGCGCCTTGAAAGCCGCCAAACAAAGCCGGAGGGTGTTCAAACAATGCCAGACCCCCGCCTCAGCCTTCAATAGGGGGCTCTAAGCAGGCGTTTAACCTTCGGAGTCGCTGAAAGTGATCCTCAAAAGCCGTGGGCCTCCCTCATTATCCGCCGCGCCAAAGGCCACTTGGCCGGCTGCAGCAGCTTCGGGGAAGGCGCGCTGGGGGGCCACGCCGCAGCCTCCCCAACCCCGGCCCCAGAACGCCTTGCCCCCCACAAGC